TCAGGGTGTTCTGGGGCCTCTGTGGTAGTCTTGGGGTGCTCCAGAGCCTCCATAGCAGGCTCTGAGTGTTCTGGGGCCTCCCTGGCAGGCTCTGGGTGTTCTGGGGCCTCCCTGGCAGGCTCTGGGTGTTCCGGGGCCTCCGTGGCAGGCTCTGGGTGTTCCGGGGCCTCCGTGGCAGGCTCAGGGTGTTCCAGGGTCTCTGTGGCAGGCTCAGGCTGTTCCTGGGTCTCAGTTGCAGCCTCAGGGCATTCTGTGGTCTCCGTGGCAGGCTCAGAATGTTCTAGGGCCTCTGTGGCAGGCCCAGGATGTTCCGGGGTCTCTGGGATGGACTCAGGGTGTTCTGGGGCCTCTGTGGTAGTCTTGGGGTGCTCCAGGGCCTCCATAGCAGGTTCAGGAAGTTCTAGAGCCTCTGTGGCAGGCTCAGAATGTTCCAGGGCCTCTGTGACAGGCTCAGAGTGTTCTGGGGTCTTGGTGACAGGCCCAGGATGTTCCAGGGCCTCTGTGACAGCCTCAGGGTATTCTGGGGCCTCCATGGCAGGCCCAGGATGTTCCAGGATCTCTGTGACAGGCTCAAAATGTTCCAGGGGATCTGTGACAGGCTCAGAGTGGTCTGGGCTCTCGGTGACAGGCCCAGCATGTTCCGGGGTCTCTGTGACAGGCTCAGGGTGTTCTGGAGCCTCTGTGACAGGCTCAGAGTGTTCTGGGGCTTCTGTGGCAAGCTCAGAGCGTTCTGGGGCCTCTATGACAGGCTCAGAATGTTCCAGAGCCTCTGTGACAGGCTCAGAGTGTTCTGGGGTCTCGGTGACGGGCCCAGGATGTTCCGGAGCCTCTGTGACAGACTCAGGGTGTCCTGGGGTCTCGGTGACAGGCCCAGGATGTTCTGGGGCCTCTGTGACAGACTCAGGGTGTCCTGGGGTCTCAGTGACAGACTCAGGGTGTTCTGGGGTCTCCGTGACAGACCCAGGATGTTCTGGGGCTTCTGTGGCAGGCCCAGGATGTTCTGGGGCCTCTGTGGCAGGCCCAGGATGTTCTGGGGTCTCCATGGTAGGCTCAGGGTGTTCTGGGGCCTCTGTGACAGATTCAGGGTGTCCTGGGGTCTCAGTGACAGACTCAGGGTGTTCTGGGGTCTCCATGACAGATCCAGGATGTTCTGGGGCCTCTGGGACAGGCTCAGGGTGTTCTGGGGCCTCTGGGACAGGCTCAGGGTGTTCTGGGGTCTCAGTGACAGACTCAGGGTGTTCTGGGGTCTCCATGGCAGACCCAGGATGTTCTGGGGCCTCTGTGGCAGGCTCAGGCTGTTCTGGGGCCTCTGTGACAGCCTCAGGGTGTTCTGGGGTCTCCGTGGCAGAACCAGGATGTTCTGGGGTCTCTGTGGCAGGCTCAGGGTGTTCTGGGGTCTCAGTAACAGACTCAGGGTGTTCTGAGGTCTCCGTGGCAGACCCAGGACGTTCTGGGGCCTCTGTGGCAGGCTCAGAGTGTCCTGGGGCCTCTGTGACAGACTCAGGGTATCCTGGGGTCTCAGTGACAGACTCAGGGTGTTCTGGGGTCTCCGTGACAGACCCAGGATGTTCTGGGGCTTCTGTGGCAAGCCCAGGATGTTCTGGGGTCTCCATGGCAGGCTCAGGGTGTTCTGGGGCCTCTGGGACAGACTCAGGGTGTCCCGGGGTCTCAGTGACAGGCTCAGGGTGTTCTGGGGCCTCTGGGACAGGCTCAGGGTGTTCTGGGGCCTCTGTGGTAGTCTTGGGGTGCTCCAGGGCTTCCGTGGCAACCTTGGGGCATTCTGGGGTCTTCGTGGCAGGCTGTGGGGGTTGTGCAGCCTCTGTGGCAGACTTGGGGGTGCCTGCAGTTCCCCTTGAGGCCCAGAGTGTACCAGTGTCTGCAGCTGGCTCCACGCCTTCCAGCTGGGCTTGGTTCCAGGCCGAAGGCTCCGGGCCTCCAGCGTGTCTTGTGTCCCTCTCCTCAGGTGCCGGCCTCGGTTCCAAGGTTGTTTGTCCTTCCTGCTGGGCTGCGGTGACCACAGGCTTGATCTTTGGGGTGTGTACGTGCAGCTTCTGAAGCCTGGCCGCAGCAGCAGGTCCCCGGCCCAAGGGGAGGCCTGTGTCCTGTGGGGGCCGGGCTGGGGCCACAGAGTCAGGGTCCTGGCCTGCTTCTTGCTTCAGGGTCTGCGGAGAGTCTGGGCTTGGTGTGAGGTCCCCCTCTTCTGGGGCAGTGCAAGGGGCCAGGCCTACGGCAGCGCCGTCCTCCAACTGCAGGGGCTGAAGCGTGTCTGTGGCAACAGGCGCTGGGCCCAGGATGGAGCCCGCCTCCTCCCCCCAGGCCTGCAAGGTCACCCAGGGGCGGCCTGGGGCTTCCTGCAGGGCAGGAGCAGGGACCGCCCCTGTCTCCTGGGCACCCGGTTCGTGGCCCTCCATGGCCCGGCCAGCCTCTCCCTCAGAGATCCCAGGAGCGGGCGGCCCCCCAGGGCCGTCCTGGAGCAGGGCGGCGGGCTGTGCATGGGGCTCCCCGCTGTACAGCCTCTCATCGTCTGCCCCCGCGTAGGAGGCAGAGTCGGGGTCGGACGAGGCCGCTGAGGTGTCGTCCCGGAAGGCGAAGGCCTCGTCCATGCCTTCGGTGATGGAGAGGTCGGACAATGACTGCAGGGAGGAGGCGAACGTGCTGTCGTCCTCGCCCTCCCCGGCTGGGTCCCCTGCAGAGTCCCGGCCGTCCTCCTCCTCCTCTTCCTCCTCCTCTTCCTCCTCCTCAGGGGCCCTCGGCGTCACCTCCACGGCCTCCACCTGGAAGAGGAGGCTGCCCCGGAAAGGCAGGAGGGAGGCGGGGATCATTGGGTCGTTGGCCAGGAAGTCCAGCTCGAAGAAGTGGCCATCCTGGCCCCAGGAAGAGCTGCTGTCTGCCGAGATGCTGGACTCCGGGGACGGGGGCCCTGGGGGCCCGGCAGGGGATGGCTCCTGCTCGTCCGCCACAGACCCCGGCAGGGAGAAGCCCCAGCCTGAGGGGACGTCCAGCCCTTCGGCGGGGACCAGCAGGCTCAGGGAACAGGACGGGGACGAGGCCCAGCTGTCGCCATCCGCTGTGATGTAAGAGCCCGAGGGCGAGGCTGGCGGCGAGTCCCCCAGCTCAGCCTGGGTGTCCCGGGCGTCCCTGCGGGGCCCCGCGCCGAGGAGCAGGGCACAGGTGGTCTCGGTGGGGGTGGAGGGAGGCGTGAAGTAGGAGTCGGGGTCTGGGGCAGGGCAAGGCACAGGAGGGTCACCCTGAGAACACAACTCGGAGGGTGGGTTCAGGCTGGGATGCCCACCTTCCCGGTCCCTGAGCTCTGGCAGGGCTGCCCTGGGTGGCAGGGGCACCCGGCGGGTCTCCTCGCCCATCACGATCCGGGGCTCCAGGGTAGCTGGAGGGGGACCCCCGGCGGGCCGGGCTTCGGGTGGCCCAGGGCTGGGGCTGCCTTCTGCGGGAACAGCCCAGGCCGAGGGGGTGCCGCGCGGCCCTGCATCCCAGCTGGCGCCCTCTGGCGGGGGCCGGGCGCCCGGCTTGCTGGGTAGGAACTCGAGGGCTAGGCCGCCAGGACCCGGGCTCAGGGCACAGTGCTCCAGCCGGTCCCCTCTAGGGGTGGAGGCCGAGGCCACATCACAGGATGACTCTGTGGGAAGAGAAGGGCGTGAGGAGGGTACAGGGTGTGGAGTGCAGGGCGGGCGGGAGAGTGACCTGGGGCCGCACCATCTGGCGTGGGGCGTGGGGCGCAGCGCAGCAGCGACGGGGGGATGGGGAGTGGCAGGAGGTCAGCCGAACACACTAATGGGCTTCTCTCTGAGGCTCCGCAGGGGTGAGGCTGGTACCCGTCTCCTTGGGTGCTGGCTGGCTGGCCCCCTGCCCTCAGTCTGTGACCTCTCGTGACCTCTAGGGAGAGGCCTCCGCATTCAACTGCCCTGGGACAATGAAGGCCTCACAGCTCCTGTGACGCGGGGGCCTGGGCCCTCTTCCTCATCCCTCTCCTCGCTGCCCCGTGGGCACCTGAGGCCAGCCTGCCTGCTTGTAGCCGGCTCCGCCCCGTACCTGCTCCCAGAGCTGACGGGACAGGCCCTGGGCTGGAGCACACGGTGGAGGCAGCGCTGCAGTGGGGACAGGCCCTGGGGGGTCACGGGGGGCTGGAAGGGCTCCCCCCCTGCCCAGGAACACACGAGTGGGTCCCCTGGCGGTGTTAGGGAGGCTGCCTCTGGGGGTCCTGCTCTATGACGCTCACCTGCGATCACCCCCCAAGTACCTCTGTGCCCTGGCTTTCTGTCTGCAAAGTAGAGTATCTGCCAGGACTAGAGAGGAAACTTTCACGAAGGGGCAGCCCCCTCCCGGGCCTACCCGTGGGCCTGCAGCCGTGGCTGAGCCCGGGGCCCTTGGGCCACACCACTGGGATTCTCAGGTGGGGGGGGACCCTGAGAAGCGGGTCCATGAGCTGGCTGCAGTGTGACAGACACCCAGGGCCTGGAGGTGGGTGTGGTGGGTGGGGTCGGGTGGAGTCGGGGCTCTTGGCACCGAGCCAGTGTGGTGCCCTTACCAACCCGCACTGGGGCAGGGAGAGGGCAGAGCTGGGCCAAGGGGGGAGGGGAAGGGAAGCCAAAGGTCAAAGGTTTTTGTAACCATCAAGGTCATCAAGCGGCCTGAGCAGAGCCAGCATGAGACCCTGGGTCCGGGGAGTCCTAGCGTCCATCCACTTTACCGGACCCCAGAAGGAGACCGGGCCCCTGGGCCCAGGACTGGTCACATTGCTGGGTGACTTCTATCCACAGCAAAGTGCCCATGGCCCTCCAGGACCCACACATGGCTGACCTCCGACTGGTCACCCTGGCTGGTCCTCCCAGACCCAGGCAGACCCCCTCAGCCTCCACCAGCAGTGCTGGCCCGGCCTCTCCGAGGATGTGGGCCTGTGCCCCGGCCCTAGTTCCCCAGACTCTGCTCTCCCAGGGCACCCCGGCTCACAGCGGCCCCTCTGCCTTCCCCAGGCTCCAGCTCCAGTCCTGCTCCGCAGACCCAGGCCTGACCAGTCACTGGCTCTGGGGCGGCCTTCAGGCATCTGAGGGTTCAGCTGAGACCTGAGCCGCCCAGGACTGCCTGACCCTGGGCTCCTCGAAGACAATGGGGTGGCGGCCCAGAGGGCGGGCGGTGGGCCCGCGAGCCCCAGAGCTGGGGGATGATCCCCACGAGGCCCCTCGAGTCTCTTCTGGCTCCTGGAGGACACCCGGGTTCCCCCCCGCCCTTCCCCGCAGTCCTGAGTTGGGACTTGCGGGGCATTGGGTGGCGGCGGGAGGGGGGGGGGGTCAGGATTCAGGTGCTCGAAAGGGCAGGACGCCAAAAGGACCCGGGAGGGGACGGGGAGGGGGCTGGCTAGAGAAGGGCGGAGAGGGACAGGCAGGGAGAGGCGGAGGGCGGCCGAGACGCACGCAGGAGCGAGACCTCACCTGTGCGGGGCCCGGGCCCGCCCGCCTCCGGCAGCAGCAACTCGGCGCGGGCAGCTTCCCCGGGCATGGCCTGACCGCGCGCTCTTCCCTCCGTGCCCGGTCTGTCCGTGTGTCCGTCAGGCCGAGCCTGCGCGGCCACCGCCCCTCGGCCGGGGGGTGGGGGTCAGCGGATGATGTCAGAGGCGCCCCGCCCGCTGGCGCCCCGAGTGAGCGTGCGCGTGCGCTCCGAGCACTGCGGAGGGCCGTGATGGGGGGAGGCGCCGGGTGGGGGTGCAGCCTCCCTCCCTTCCCCGACCCAGGCTGCGCCCTCCTTCCGCGCCGCGCGGCCCCGCCTTTCCCGCAGCATCTCCGTCTTTAACGGGAGGAGCCCGACCCCATGGAGCATCACCCCTAAGCCGGGAACTGGCGGGGGCGGGGACGGTAGCCAGAACTCGGGCTGCGGGGGCCTGGGCGCTCTGGGGGAGGCGGCGGCGCAGTCCTGGTGCTCGGCCTCCTGCGCCCCCCACCCCTTGCCTCCATCCCGGAGGTGAGCTGGAGCCGCAGCTCCACGCTGATTGGCTGGTCCTCGCCGTCGGTCTCCGTGGCAACCGCCTCCCGGCTCCATGGAAACCGGAGGGCAGGGAAACCGGTGGGAGCGCCGCGGGGCGGGCGGCCCCGGGGGAGGGGGAGCCGCGGCCAACCCCAGTTCCCGCCCCGGTCTCCGTGCCCCGCGCCGCTGGGCTCTCGGGCGGAGGAAGAGGAGACACGCCTTCCTCGCCCCGGAGGCCGCCCGGGCCACACCCCAGGGGCGACAGCGCTCTCGAGCCTCCCTGATCTGTGCCCTCACTCCCACCCAGGCCCTCCCGCGCTCGCACCCGCCCAGTGCCAGGCTCCGGCCCGGGGACACAGATGACCATTGTCACCACCCCTGAGTTGGGTGCAGGCAGGGAATCAGAGCGGCAGTTGTCGCGGGTGGGGTGGGGGGAGTGTCCCCCACCTTGTCTGCTGCTGGCGCGACCCCAGACGCAGCGTGGGGCTGGCTCTCTGCGTCCTGCACCCTGTCACCTGCTGGCAATGCCGGCGACCCGTCCCCTCGTCTCCCTCCCTCTCCCCCCCATGGGCTCCCCTTCTCTTCCTCTCCTCCCCCACACCCTTCATCCACACCTCCCAGGCTTTCCTAAGTTGGCTCCTTCTAGGGCCCTTCACCCTTTGCCTTAGCAGACCCCCTCCTAGCTCCCACTGCCCTGCAGACCCCTACCATCTGGACAACACAGATTTTCCAGAAACCCGAAGTCCTTCAGCAGTCCCGAGGGGCTTCCAGTCTGGACATAGGCGGGTCTCTCCGTTCCTCCTGACTAATCTAACAAGAAATGCAGGAAATAAGAGACAACCAAAACAGGGGCGCCTGGGCAGCACGGTCACTTAAGTGACCAACTCTTGATCTCCACTCAGGTCATGATCTCAAGCCCCACGTCGGGCTCTGCACTGATAGTGCGGAGCCTGCTTGAAATTCTCTTTCTCTCTCAAAATAAAAAACATTAAAAAAAGAGGGAGGGGGTCACCTGGGTGGCTCAGTTGGTTGAGTGTCCAGCTTTGGCTCAGGTCACGATCTCACGGTCCATGAGTTCTAGCCCTGTGTCGCGCTCTGTGCTGACAGCTCGGAGCCTGGAACCTGCTTTGGATTCTGTGTCTCCCTCTCTCTCTGCCCCTCCCCTGCCCGTGCCCTGTTTCTCTCTCAAAAATAAATAAGGAAGGGGCGCCTGGGTGGCACAGTCGGTTAAGCGTCCGACTTCAGCCAGGTCACGATCTCGCGGTCCGTGAGTTCGAGCCCCGCGTCGGGCTCTGGCCTGATGGCTCAGAGCCTGGAGCCTGTTTCCGATTCTGTGTCTCCCTCTCTCTCTGCCCCTCCCCCGTTCATGCTCTGTCTCTCTCTGTCCCAAAAATAAATAAATGTTGAAAATAAATAAATAAATAAATAAGGAAAAAATAAAATAAAAACTAAGGAAAAAGAGTATTCAAAGAAATGATAGCTGAAGCTTGTAGGCAAAGAATAGAAACATATCTTCAAGCAGCTGAGCAAATCTCAAACCCTAAGGCAACCCACGTCGGGACGCCTGACCTGTGATGTCTAGCGCTGAAGACAAAATCAGGGAAGCGGCTGAGAGACCCAAGGGAGCACCGAAGAGAGCCCCCGTTCACTTCTCCCCTCAAGCCAGCCCCTGTCATGCAGCATTTCTGCCTTTCCCAGGCCCCACCCCTCCTCCCTCCAGGTGCTCACTTGTCCTGTCCTTCCTTTGTCAACAGGCATGCTTTTCCAGGCAGGTGGGGTGTGTACCTGTGGCCAAAGCGCCTTCCTTCTCCAGCGACACTTTCTTTCAACGCTTGAGAACCCTCCTGCCTCCGGGGTGGCCCAGTCGGTTAGGCGTCCATCCAAGACTTCGTTTTGACCCGGTTTCGGCTCAGGTCATGATCTCACCACGTTTGTGAGACTGAGCCCTGAGTGGGGCTCTGTACCGAGTACTGAGTGTGGAGCCTGCTTGGGATTCTCTTCTCTCCCTCTCACTCTGCCCTTCCCCTCCTCGTGCTCTTTCTCAAATAAATAAATAAATAAAAATAAATTCACAAATCAGGAGGCAAAGATTTGCAGAGTGGATAGAAAAGCAAGACTGGGGGTGCCTGGGGGCTCAGCTGGTTAAGCGGCCAACTCTCGATTTCGGCTCGGGTCATGATCTCAGGGTTGGTGAGACCGAGCCCTATGTGGGCTCTGTGCTGACAGCGTGGAGCCTGCTGGGGACTGTGTCTACCTCTCTCTGCCCCTCCCCCACTTGTGTGTGCGTTTGTGCGCACGCGCACTCTCTCTCTCTCAAGTTAAATAATCATTAAAAAAAAGCCAGACAACTACATGCTGTTTATAATAAACTCACTTCAAGTCCAGTGACAGCTGTGCTGGAAGAAAATAACAGAAAATGACATGAATAGTAACCAAACACACACAGCACACAACCACAAGCAGGGGTGGCTAGGTCAATATGTGAGAAAGTGCACTTTGGGGTAAAGGGGTAGGCGGCGACAGACTGACCCACGTTATGGGTAATGGAGCCACACACGCTGGCTCTCGGAACCTCGGAACACATGAGGCCGAGGCTGACCGAGCTGAGAGGAGGGGGTGGGTCTGCAGGAACGGTGGAGGACTGGACTTGACCGTCAGGACCTCTAGACAGAAAAGCAGCCGGATGTAAGGGAGTCACGTCACCCGCCCGCAGCGGTCTGCGGGGTGGTACCCCCAGCAGCGCAGAGTGACCCTGTGTTCAACGTGGGAAACGTTCCCCACGACAGATCAAACCCCAGACCGTAAGGCAAACGTCAACATGTCTAAAATACCTGAAATCACAGGGTTTGTACTCAGACTGCAATGGACTCCCACAAAGTCAATCAGCAAGAGGAAAATCTCCAAACACTGGGAAGAAAACCACAATCTTATAAATGATCCTCCTCAAACTGCAAGTGCTCCAGGGCATTTTTAAAAACACAGAACTGGTTAAGCATCTGACTTCGGCTCAGGTCATGATCTCGTGGTTCGTGGGTTCGAGCCCAGAGTCAGGCTCTGTGCTGACAGCTCAGAGCCTGGAGTCTGCTTCAGATTCTGCGTGCGTGTGTCTGTCTCAAAAATAAATAAACGTCAAAAAAATTAAAAAAACACAGAACTCAACAGGATAAAAATAAAAATACGGAACATCAAAGTGTGTGGTCTGCGAGTGCCAAGAGTCATGAAGGCCTCAAAGTCATCGTAGGTCCTACCTTGTGAAACTTGGGAAGAAAGAGCAAAATAAAACCAAAACAAGCAGAAAGAAGGAAATAATAAAGTCAGGAGCAGAAATCAGTGAAATGGAAAACAGGAAAAGAGAGGGCATCAATGACACCAAGAAAAGGTTCTTTGAAGAATTGGTAAGATAGATAAACCTCTAACGAGGCTGCCAACATTAAAAGAGCAGACACAGATGACCAGGGCCAGGAGCACACCGGGGGCTGGATGGTTAGTTCCATGTCAGCCTGAAGGGGCCACAGGAAGCCCGGGTGGCAGGTGAGATATTCTTCTGGGAGCGCCAGAGTGACGCATGAAATCCCGGAGGCATGAGAAACATTAAAATCCACCAAATTCGAGCAAGCAAGATGAAATGGATAATCTGAACAGTCCTGTAACCATGTAAGAAATTACTTTTTAATTTAAAAGTTCACCCAAAGAAACTTTCAGGCCCAGATGATTTCACTGGGGAATTCTACCAAGTATTAAAAAATTTTTTTTTAATGTTTATTTTTGAGAGAGAGAGGGGGGCAGAATGTGAGCAGGGGAGGGGCAGAAAGAGAGGGAGACACAGAATCCGAAGCAGGCTCCAGGATTTGAGCTGTCAGCATAGAGACCAACATGGGACTTGAACTCACAGACCGTGAGATCGTGACCTGAGATGAAGTCAGATGCTTACCCGACTGAGCCCCCCAGGCACCCCTAAAGTAGAATTAACATCAACTTAAAGCAATCTCTGCCCAGGACCCCTCGGTGGCTCAGTCGGTTAAGCATCTGACTCTTCATTCGGCACAGGTCATGATCTCATGGTTTGTGGGTTGGAGCCCCACATCGGGCTCTGTGCTGATGGTGCAGCGTTTGCCTGGGATTCTCTCTCTCCCTCTCTCTCTGCCCCATCCCCTGCTCTCTCTCTTTCTCTCTCTCTCTCAAAAAATAAACTAAAAATTAAAAAAAATAATAAAGCAATTTCTGCCAGAAAACAGAAGAGGAGGGAATGCCTCTTAACTCGTTTCCTGAGACAAATTTATTTTATTATTATTTTTATTTGTGAGAGAGAAAGAATGAGCTGGGGACAAGGGCAGAGAGGGAGAGAGGCAGGGGGGGAAAGGCAGAGAATATTAAGCAGGCTCCATGCTGAGCATGGAGCCTGACGACGTGGGGCTCGATCACAACCCTGGGGTCATGACCTGAGCCCAAATCAAGAGTCAGACACTTAAAGACTGAGCCACCCAGGTGTACCACGAGACAGAGTTAAATACTGTTACCAAAGCAAGGCAAGGACAGCA